AACTCAGCCAGAAAATATATACTATCTGGTTGTTTATTGATAAAAATGCAAAACTTCATAATATACAAGTTGTATACAAAATATAGGAAAAAACGCTTCTTCTCATATATTCAGCATCCAAGACTTATCCACAAACATAAAGTCTCTAGCCAAAAACTCTCAGGAAGAGGTACACTACTTGGTTATTAGTTACAACTACATAACCAAAACGCTTCTTCTCATATATTCAGCATCCAAGACTTATCCACAAACATAAAGTCTCTAGCCAAAAACTCTCAGGAAGAGGTACACTACTTGGTTATTAGTTACAACTACATAACCCATAAAACTACATAATTATATGGTGGCTAATGCTCTACTGCAACTGCAGGGCTGGGCATACTAATGCTCCAGTTATACTGGCACTCCATACCCCCCCACTGGGTAACTGGCATACACACGCCAATAGGTGGCAGTAATTAGCAGTATACATGCACAACACACAATCACAAGTTGTTTTGTTTACATACAGTAAGCTACATAAGCTAGACATAATATTGTTATACAGATAATGGGATGAATTTCTTCCCATGAAAAAATCCTGACAAGTTCAGCCTTTGAAATTGCAGTGATACATTTCAACCAGGTTCATTAAACATTGTAATATAATTGAACATTAGATGCATTTCACAGGATGGGCATATCTTTCCTTCTATAGTGGTAGTAGCTTCAAATCATGTAAAACATTTTTCTATTGTCAACCTTCTTTGAATAACTGATTTCTGTTCTGAAATTACAATAAGAAATTTAGGGAACTTCACTGAATACACATTATATAAGTTTGCTGATCTGTAGAATCTTCTTAGCGTGCCTTTAAATCATACAGTATTCACGGTTCTATAGCACCCACTGCCTTAAGGAACTGTCAGGAGTTAATAGTAGCAAATATTCTTCCATTTAGAAATGAATTCAATTTATTCAGTTCTCATTTCCTGAAAGTAAGTGTGAGTCCAAGGTTAATGTATGAGGGAAGAAAATCTCCTGGAACAATATGGTCATATTGAAGCATAGATATGAAATATTTTCTTCAATATTTTCTTCACACACATATCCACACAATTTTTTGTTAATGCTTTTCCTTAGGCACCATTTGGGATGCAAGCTGAATGTGTACATCCTCTAGAAACTATAATCCTTGGAACTGGATTTTTCCTTGGAATAATGGTCTTCTGTAATCACATGATTTTGCTGTGGGCATGGTTAATTTGTCATTTGATTCAGACCATTGATGCTCACAGGTAATCTTTTGTTACTTAGTTATGATTCTTTCTGCTCACATTCAGAAATTTAGAATTATTATTACATTAGCTTTTATCTTCTGTGTGTGTCTGTGTGTCTGTGTGTCTGTGTCTGTATGCATGGATGCATGTATATATGTGTACTGTATATGAAACAATGTATGGAGAAAATATTTTAAACCAGTCCTTAAAGTGTAACTGTTAAGAACTCCCTGAAAATGATCTTTTTTTTTAGGAATTTTCATTTAAGGCTGATAATGCTATGCTTATTTATCTGGGAGTAAGTTTTCACTGAAATTAGTGATTCTGTATTTGATTAAATATTCTTAGGATTGGTTTGCACATAAGTATTTGGAGAAATAGTCACTTCTCAGTGAAAAGCTTGTACATTCTTCAGTTATTCTTTGGTCAAAAAGGTTCTCACTACTTAAATTGAAAGTACTTTCAGTACTTTCTGCATTCAGGACAATTGCATATCCTCATCAATGTCAGCAGAAGCTTCGAGAATATATATTTTCACACTGAAATATAATAATAATAGGAATAGGAATAGGAATAAGAATAGGAATAGGAATAATAATAATAATAATAATAATAATAATAATAATAATAATAATAAAAAAAAATGTATATGCCACCTGACTCCCAGCAACTCTGGGCAATTTACAAATTGCTAAGAACATTTAAAACAAGAAAAACACACAAAGCAAAAAAGAGCAAAGAGGGTAGAGATAACATACCTGGATGGGATGAAAAAGAAAAGGGGGCTCAGTCACACTGGTCAAAGGCCTGGGTGAAGCGACAGGACTTCAGGGCCCTTTGAGACACCAGTAGGGTGGGGCCATTCAAATCTTGGGGGGAACCTCTTTCCAGAGGGCAGGTGCTGGTGCAGAGAAGGCACTCTGCCGGGGTCCCGATAGATGGCATTGTTTAATCGATGGAACTTGAAGCGCGTCAATCCTGCCAGATCAGATTGGCTGGGCAGGTACTGTGGGAGAAAATGAATAAGAATGAGAAAAACTCATACTTGACTGGGGTGTGAATGTGTATGGAGCATAATCACCACATAGTAAATTGTAATCGTATGTTCCTTACCTCTTCTCAGAGTTGAAGAGAAGTGAATTCAATATTTTATTCCTCTGCTTGTTATAATGGTGACAGTCTTTGAATAAGCACATATTCAGGACGGACGGACGGACGGACGGACAGACAGACAGATAGATAGAAAGACAGACAGACAGACAGACAGAAAAAACTTATTTAGTGGACCAGTACAGAAATAAGAAATATTCTGTAATACTTTCCAAAAGATGAATTTTAGAAGAGTCAAAGCCATGCTGATTCTGAAATAAGTAAATATCTAAAGCCTCAGTCAGATATTCATTTACCCACTGAAATCATTGGGACTTCCTTCCAAATAGACAGAGGATTCCATTTGAAATTATTAGCACAAATTTTTTAAAAAATGTGAGAAATGGCTTCAGGTTATTAAAATTTGCATTCTATTATTTTTCTTTTTAGTGGCTATGATATTCCTTTGAATCCTTTAAATTTGTTGCCTTTTACGCTGGGGCTCGCTTTCATGACTTCCATCATATGAACGTCACTGGCAATTACTCCTCAACATTCACATGGTGGGATAAACTCTTTGGTACTGATTCG